GGGAACCTTACTTGGGTTGCTGCCCCCCCCCCCCCCCCCCGTGGGTTGCGGCAACCCGGGGTACCCGCAACCGCGCCCGTGGTTACGGCGACCACTGGTCAATATTGGGTACCCACAAGCAATGAATGCGGTGGTTGCGGTTTGCGACGACCAGCCGCATTCAGCCGCAACCACCGCTACCGCGCACCAACATGTTCCCGACGACACCCGCCTTGGAACAGCCTCTTGCAATGGTTGTGGGGCCTGGCACTAGCTGCAGGCCCGATGCGTGCGGCCGGGGCAGTAGTTGTACTGGAACCGCACCTATGGGCTGTTGTCCAGCGCAGCTTAAAGTTCTCGTGCCTCGACACACACAGCCGGAAAGTCGAAATTTTGCTGGCAGTGATGCAGGATATCGTATGTGAGTGGCTGTGCTGCGCACTGCCCTTGTGACTGCCACACCACGTCGAGGTAAAAAGCGGAGAAACAAGACATCAAAAACAACCACATCGGCGGGGCAGCCACAGCCAACAACCAACATGGAAAGTTCTGCATGCTCAAACAAAGCGGGCACAGACATATAATCGCATCGCTTTGCTTATCATGCAGCTGTTGCGCGCATCTGCTATGACCTGGCCATGAAAGCGCCCGGCCTGGTTTCGGCCCCTACCCAAGGCCGGCGCCGCGCCCCTCACCCTCTGCCCCACACCCACACCGCGGCCGATGGGCATCCCAGGCGCACGCGCGTCCACACCCGCCGCGCGTGCAGCGCCTCGCTCACGCTACCCCGCTGCGCCCCGGGTGCACCGGGAACGCCGCCGCCGTCGACTCGAGCCGCACCAGCGGCGTGCCGCGGTACACGCAGTCAACGACGCGCAGCGCCTCGCGCGCCATGGCCACGTTGTGCACGCGCATGATCTCAGCGCCCTGCGCCGCCGCGACCACGCAGGCCGCCGCTGTCCCCAGGTCCCGGTCCTTCGGGTCCTCGCGGCCTTGCATGATGTGTTTGATGATGGTTGATCATGGTTGATCAAGCGTGGGTCGGCGGGAATGGTTTGGGTG